GAGAGAGAGAGAGAGAGAGAGAGAGAGAGAGAGAGAGAGAGAGAGAGAGAGAGAGAGAGAGAGAGAGAGAGAGAGAGAGAGAGAGAGAGAGAGAGAGAGAGAGAGAGAGAGAGAGAGAGAGAGAGAGAGAGAGAGAGAGAGAGAGAGAGAGAGAGAGAGAGAGAGAGAGAGAGAGAGAGAGAGAGAGAGAGAGAGAGAGAGAGAGAGAGAGAGAGAGAGAGAGAGAGAGAGAGAGAGAGAGAGAGAGAGAGAGAGAGAGAGAGAGAGAGAGAGAGAGAGAGAGAGAGAGAGAGAGAGAGAGAGAGAGAGAGAGAGAGAGAGAGAGAGAGAGAGGAGAGAGAGAGAGAGAGAGAGAGAGAAGAGAGAAGAGAGAGAGAGAGAGAAGGAGAGAGAGAGAGAGGAGAGAGAGAGGAGAGAGAGAGAGAGAGAGAGAGAGAGAGAGAGAGAGAGAGAGAGAGAGAGAGAGAGAGATAGAGGAGAGAGAGAGAGAGAGAGAGAGAGAGAGAGAGAGAGAGAGAGAGAGAGAGAGAGAGAGAAGGAGAGAGAGAGAGAGAGAGAGAGAGAGAGAGGAGGAGAGAGAGAGAGAGAGAGAGAGAGAGAGAGAGAGAGAGAGAGAGAGAGAAGAGAGAGAGAGAAGAGAGAAGAGAGAGGAGAGAGAGAGAGAGGAGAAGAGAGAGAGAGAGAGAGAGAGAGAGAGAGAGAGAGAGGATGGAAGAGAGAGAGAGAGAGAGAGAGAGAGAGAGAGAGAGGAGAGAGAGAGAAGATGGTGAGAGGATGAGAGAGGAGAGAGAGAGAGAGAGAGAGAGAGAGAGAGAGAGAGAGAGAGAGAGAGAGAGAGAGAAATGGACTGAGCACGCAGCCGGGTTACATTTAGTTCTGATCAAGCCGACTGTAACCCAAACCGTTTGTAGACTCAAGCAAAAGTAGTGATCGAAAAGAAACTAGTTTCCGGGGCTAAGAGCGTCTCTTTTCTGGAAGTAAAACGGGCTACTACTTGCAGTTCAAGGTGGCTGCTCAGAAAGCCCAGCCCGTAACTCTGAGCCGTTAAATTGAGGCCCGGGACAATCACGGCGCGTTGCAGGGCTCAGAGGCAAATAGAGCAGCTGGAAGCGCTGCTGGCGCGGCCCTTCAGCTGTAAGCCGCAGTCCGTCCCAGATAGAGACGATCGCGGACAGTGCTGGTGAATCCGGAAGTACGCGGAGCATTTAACCGTCAGCAAGCAAACAAGTGCAAACGAAGTGCATGCGGGCGATACATCAAAGGCGGCATATCAAAGACGTACGAACAAAGGCTGCCTACACTCAGCGTTCTAGAATAGCGTGTTTCGGTGACCACACTGTCGCTTCCTGCCAACGATGCACGCATGTTACTCCCAGGGGCGGGTTCAGCAATAGGTCCTCGGGGTGGTTTAAGTCCGTACACGGGCGGAGGGAGGGGGTTTAGTTCCAAATTGACTGCCAGTTGCAATTGAATCAAGATAAATTACAGGTTGAAGCGTTTTCTACATCGCTTAGAGGCGAAATATTCTGGAATACATACCTATCCCCCTGTGTGGATCCGCCCTTGCTACTCCTTGCAGAGGGTGCCTTGAACGGTCTAGTACTAGCGACCTTATTTGAAGCACAGCAGAGAGACGGAAAACAAGACCGTGCGCGATTACGCGCGCAAGAACAAACCAACATCCGCAAATAGGACAAAGCGCATCCTGCCGTCACACCGTTAAACCGAGCGGTTGCAATTCGCGTTGCAATTGACCCGATCCCATGAACACGTTGTGGCGGTATGAGCCTTGTGACCTGATTTTCCGGCCAAATTCTCGGCCATCGATTGTGAGGAGCAGAGGGCGCCGGTCGTCTCCGCGGCCCAGAACTCTTCTGCGTTGGCTACCCGCCCGCCACGGGGATACGCCTCAGGCGCTGCGTGACCTTGGGGGGGGGGGGGGGGGGACGGAGGCGAGCCAGCGCGTTGAAGGAGGATTTCCTGCCAGCTCGTCCGCATTCGTGGAGGAAGCGGAAGAGCTTCGTGAGCAGGCTTTAATCGTTCGCTGCTTACGCTCCAGTGACGTCATCACTGAACTGCGGTTGGCAGATCGACTGATGGGATTTCTCTCGAGCAGGAACGTTGCCTTCGAGACCCTTAGCACGGACTGCACGAGTCTCAGGCCTAGCGTACTGTCCACGAATTCATCAGTCACAGCATACTATCGACAAATGCAACAGCCGCAGCATACTGTCCACAAGTTCAACAGTCTCAGCAAACTGTCCGCGAATGAAACCGTCCCAGCAACCTGTGCGAGAATTAAGCAGTCCCAGAATACTGTCCGTGAGTTTGACAGTCCCAGCGTACTGCCCACAAAATCCACAACCCCAGCACGCCGTTCATAAATACCATATGGGGTCACTCGTCGGCGTGCACTGGATGTTGGAATTTGTTCGGTTTTAGTATTCGTGCCAGAAAACAGGACGCGGTGGAAACGTAGCTAGCACTCAGGCGTGTTCCGTGCGGGCTTGTGTGTTTGGTCTTAGTCACATCGGTATGATTTGTTTCGGCACGAATGCTTCCCGGTTGAACCAAGCGCCCGAGTACTGTTCATCGAACGGAAACCGTCGGGAGTAATCGATCGAAAACTAAAATGTTGGCAGAATGAAGATCGAGATGGAGAATGATCGAACGTTGTAGCCCAAACAGCGCCGATTCACTTAGCGCGGACGGCGCATCGCCAGCAGAACTATCGGCAATGAGAAATACCGAAATGAGGAACGACGGAAAGACAAAATATTTAAACAATAAACGTAAGAAATCAAAGCGCAGAAAATAGGATGGGAAACATCGACGAGTTAAATGCCAACGGCGACGCGGCTTGTTACATGAAGTGATGAGCTTGCGATTTATCTACGGAGCAAGCTCGCCACGCGCACGTACATAAATTGAGAACAAACGGGACTGGATGAGGTTCGTTAGCTAGCGTTGCGCTGATGACCTCAAAGGCTTAATGAGGGAACACAAAACGGCCGAATGCCAAACATCTCTGGATGGTAGAATCAAATGCAAATTACGAGTCGCGACCTCTGACATAGGCAGGGCATAGGCAGGCACATTGTTACAACAGAAGGTGCCTCATCCCGACAGCTACCGGCGGATCCCACAGGAGGTACCTCATCCCGACACTTGCCGGCGGACCCCACAGAAGGTACCTCATCCCAACAGCTGCCGGCGGACCGCACAGAAGGTACCTCATCCCGACACCTGCCAGCGGACCCCACAGAAGGCACCTCACCCCAACAGCTGCCAGCGGATCCCACGATCAGGCCATCAGGCCTTTTCTGACCTGACTTGACCTGATCTATCTTAGCCTCGCAGCTATCACGTATACCCATGTTCCCGATCACCGGTAGGTACCTGTGCATCATGCAGTGACTTACTGTACATGCGTTGATACTTGCGAGTATTTTCATTTTGGCTTTTGCTACCATGGAACCAATGGGCTGTCAGCATGTCCAATTTGTTCGAGGGAGTTGTTTATCAAGATATCGGTTTCATTGTCCATATTCAGACTATATTTCCTTGTCGATATCAAAATTGTTTCTTTGTCAGTGTGCATACCTTTTGTTGCAATTATATCGCTTTTAGTTTCGATACCTTATTCATCTCGATCTGTATTCAGTCCTTCGATACTAAGTCATTCCATCGCACCCCATTTCGCTGACCAACCCCGTCAGCATTTTCTTTTCGCTCTGCTGCATTCCATATTCTTCCAATTCATCATTTGCTATTTGAGATGTTGCCAAGAAACAACTAAACTTCAACAAGATAGCCATAAAGGCAGGCCGTCAGTTGCAAGACGGTACTTTTCAGTTGACTGTTGAAGAGGCTGCCCACGTAGCAGCAGAACGGCCTTCTGCACACACTGGACACCATCGCGCCTCCAAGATATTTTGTGCGCGGGCGTAATGATTTCTTCCAAAACGTACAGAGCAATTACAAGCTGGGCGGATCAAAATGACGTCAGGCTCTAAGTCAGCACCGGCCCGGTCACGAAACCACCACCGGACCAGAGGCCAGTCAGCCAGAGGCACCGTCCAATCTCCCGCCCCTGACTGCGCCCAGCCCCCGCGGAGCACCCAGCCGACGCCACCGCTCCCAGCAGTGTAAGCCACCAGGCAGGGGGGCCTGTCCGCGAGCCTGACCGGCTTGGCCTCCCAGCGGTGCTCAGTCCGCCGCCGACCCCGGCCGCCCGCGGACCCTACCTTTGTGCGATCCCCGGCGGATGGCCTCCCCCGCCGACGGACGCGACCACAACTGGCGGCTGGGCCCGCGCCGCCGCCGACGACGATGAACGCTGCCATCGATTGCACGCAGCGACGCCAGAGGTTCCCAAACCGACGAGATAGCGGCGCACGCGGCGCTGGGGCGTGCGTGACGGTAAGGTGCGCGGCGTTACAGGCGCCGGATCCCGTGGGACGCGAGCCCGTGACGGGCTTTGTAACGCAAGGCAGAGACAATGGCCGCCCGTACATGCCACAGTGACGACAGCTTCCAAGACGCCAAATGCAGGGGCCTTCAAACTGACGCAGAACGTGGCGCGGTGCCAACGACGGAGAGTCGTACGCCGACGAATGACGTCCATTTCACGCGCCGCCGAAACCGTGGCCTCTCAAACCAATCACCGGCGAAGGCCGACGGAGCCGACGACCAGTGGCTTTCATCCCGGCGGTGGCGGGCCCAGCTAACCCAATGGTGATGCGACTGAAACCCCTGCCGGCAAGCTCCCAAGCCGTATCCACCAGGGGTCCTCAGTCGGCCAGCGTCGCGCCTACAGTGTGTCCGTGCCGACGGTGCTGCGACTCGGAGGCGTCCTGTGCGGTCGTGGGTCGTGACGGTCGGTGGTCACCTCCCTGCCGGGGACTTGCGATCCACAGAACGCCGTGGCGCTGCCCAGTCGGCCAGATGCCGCGTGATGTACTGTCATGACAACCAGTCCAGTATTCGGAGACTGTAGATGTTATTGTAGATCAATAGATCCAGAATATGTATTTCAAAATACATGCCCAAACGTTTAACAGGAAACAGTCAAAAGGCACACAAGAAGTGGCTAGAAAGTACATGAAGATAGTCAAAAAGTTCAGAGGAAATAGCTCGAAGGTATACAGCAAATATCCAAAAGGTGACTCAAGTGTCAGCTATGACACGAAAAAACAGCACATATCCCAAGCAACAGTTTTTCAACTGTTCCCATCGAGGGAATTATTTCCTTCACAACTTGAAAGGAGTACACAAAATCAATAACACCATACACGCGATAAAGCAGGTCTGAGTCAGTCCACATACGACCCCTGAATGCAATGCCCAGGACTTGAACAGCGGAAGCTCGAAAATTCTAAAAGCCAGCCCAGCGTCTCATCTTGAGGACAACAAACTGTTGACACGTACCCAGCTAATACTAAACCGGAGGGCACCTGATGACATCGTCCCAGATGTCGGCGTTAAGGTTTCGTGAGGAGCTCCTGCTTCCCAGTGCCGTCCGGTCCGAGGCTCCTGCTATCCGTAGTCGTTTGGTCGGGGGTTCCTGCCACCCGGTGCCGTTCGGTCGGGGGCTCCTGCCACCCCGTACCGTATGGTCGAGGGCTCCTGCCACCCGGTGCCGTTCAGTCGGGGGCTGACAACGATGCAGCATGATCCAGATTGACATGTGCGTGCCTATATCGCTACGCCGCATAAACACTCGAGTTCTCGCTCGCTTCTTCAGATCACAACCGGCCACATCGGCTCTGACCAGCGCTGTCCAGTCCGTCAGCGCCGTCGAGTCCGTCCGGCGCGTGCTCGGCTGCCGCCCGGGCGCCGTCGGTCGCACGTGCCGTCACCGCGCGATTCCCGTCCAAGGCAACCTCCTGGTCATCCACCGAGCCCTGTTGAGACGGCGCTGGTGCGGCACCGAGCCGGCCCAGCCGCTCGGCCAGCTGGAGGCCGAAGGCAGCCGTGAAACCGGGACTAACGCTGTGCAACAGCGCGTACGGCGTCTCGAAGAGCCGACCGTCGCCGCCGTCGTCGGCGTCGTGCCCCTCGCCGCAGATGGCGAAGCCGCCCGCCGAAAGACGCACGGTCACACACCGCCCCTCCAGCGTGGTGATGTTGAGGAGCGCGCCGCCCGCGTCCGCCGGCAGCGACGACGGCGCTGCAGACGCCACCTGCGGTGCGATGTCCGCGACTACGGCTTCTACCTCCTGCCGCCAGGCGGCAGCACTGGGCGGGCGTTCAGCGGCGTGCGGTGGCGTCATGGACGGGCTGCTGGCATTGATGTAGATCACCCTGGTGGAGAAATATCCGGCTTACTCTGTGGTACAGCGTAAAGTGGGGCGCAACAGTCATTCTGAAAACAGCTGATGATCACTTTGCAGGGCTGGCTTTGGGATGAGGGTGCCCGGTAACTGGCTCACTGCCAGGAGCCACGACCACACTGCTGCAGGAGAGCACTGTTGTTCCAGCGCATGAGATCAGTGTGGCTGAAATACTATAATGCACCATAAAGGGCCATAACAGTCTCTGATGAGCCAAATACTCATATGTGGTATATGGGATGTGGGCCCACATGGCCAGCTACTCCAGAAGTTACATGTCCAGCAACCAAGCAACAAGTATGGCACAGAAACCTGCACAGGAACATGATACACTTATCCACCAAAGTCATTTCCATACAACACAATTACATACAGATTGGTAAATGTTGGCAATGGCAAAAATGATAGCTGTTCCTACGCATTCTTGCATTCACAGCAACTTTACTTGAGGTGATATTACACATGAGGGCTGTATGTTCTCACATTGGTAGCAGCTGTACTTGAGGCCACAGTACACATCATAAGGCCTATCAGAACATTTTGGGAACAGAATGGTAACTTAGGATACTTTTTCGAGAGAACTGTGGAAAGGCAAGATGGAACTGTGTTTGGGAAGACCACATCTGCTCAATTTTGGATGGGTTCCCTGATACCAGTTGTACCTCCTGGCACAACTTCTGCCACAGGCAAGGATAGGTGAGGGTGGCAGCCCCAAATTGTGTGGAATTTTACCAAGTGCCAGCATATGCAGTACATTAAATAAATGTTCAACATTTCCCTACTGGGTTGATGCTTCCTACACATGAAGAAGTCAGCATATATGACAATTCAAGATAGGAACACATCAGTACATTGTTTGCAGATGTGTTTTTTGTAAAACAATTATCATCTTGTTAAACAACAATTCAATAAAGGACTGATGAAAAAAATAAGGAAAGGCACAGCAAATTCATACAATCAAGAAGTAATTGAAATCATTTTCCTTTAATAAGTTTTCTCATAAGGCTATCATCCCAGTGTTGCATATCACATGATATTACAGAGTGTGAGTATAACATAATAGTACCTCCACAGTAGGATTTTGGAGGATAAGATGGCTGTCGAATATAACATAGACCAGCACAGGGGTGTACTTTTCCTTCCAATAAAGGGGGTTAAGTCTCCTAACTTGGGTTCCATCCCCCTCAACATGAATAGAGGCATCTCTTAACTAGGACAATAGGATGGAAAGCCTTTTACTAATGGCCAAAATCTGAGTTTCAATGGCATAGGCCTCACACTTCCCTAAACAACATGAACTGTCAAACACAACCCATGCAATTTATTATCACAAGACGCACAAGACATTTTGATGGACACAACCGAAGGAAATTTCATATGCAAGACTTGATGCGGTAGTTAATAATAACCTTTCTATTATCTGCACACTCCTGCTCCCGCATACCAGACCCTGTCAACCCAAGCTATTGCATAATAATTACAGCACGATAGGGCACTGTTTACATCCGTGCCTGATGCTGCCATATTAAGCGTTCACCAAGTGGCGTTCCTAAAAACTCAGGCACCACAAGAAAAACATAAAACAGGACACCACAAATCGTGATCCTAGCTTTAAAACATAATTAATACGATAGCGATTGAATAGGCCTGTCACGCCAGCCCCCTGTCATCCCTGTGTATCGCCAGCCTCGGCATCGCCATAGGTCCATGTTTCCTAAGTGCCAAATGCGTGGCGCGGAAGAGACAAAATTTCAGGGGGCTAAAGCTCCTGCGTGCAATCCACTGCGGGCACCTCATGGTCCCACTAAAGGCCTGGGTCCCTCCTCCCCAGCAGTGCCGCACGTGCCAACGGTTCGGCCACACTGGCCGGACCTGCCGAGCTGCGCGCCCGACCTGCGGCCGCTGCGCTGACCCTCATTACACGGGGGAGTGTGACGCAAAAAACCTGCGCTGCGCCACATGTGAACTGCGCCACGCAGCTGGGGACCGCCGCGCCTGTCCCGCTTGGCGTGTGCAGCGCGAGGCGCTGCGCGAGCGCCAGCAGCAGGCAGCGGCAGCGGCCTATGCACCGGTCCGAGTGCTCCAGTCTCAGGAGTGGCCCACGTCGCGGGAGGCGTACCCTCATCCTCCCCCTTTAACACCAGCTCCGCGGCGGTGCCCCCTCCCTCCTCCGCGTCCTGTTGAGGAGCCTGATGTATCGAACCAGTGTTGTGTCTCAGCACAACGCTCCTCCTCAGCACGCCGCCCCTCCCCAGCAGGTCAGCCGCGTCCAGTGCTGCGTGCGATCGAGTCCGCGCCAGCCGACCCAGTCACAGCAAAGCCGGTGGCTGCGAGCCTCCCTGAGCAGGAACCCGCCCCACCAAACTCGGAGAGCCTCTCTCCCACCCCAAAACGTTGCTGTTGGTCCACTCCACCCGTGCCAGCGTCCCAAGAAGCCCCATCCGATGCCTCAGCCGCCGCGCTCCCGACGCCAACCCCCCGGGCCAGTCCCTCAGTCGAACGCCGAGCCCGACCCGTTACGCGCTCCCGCCGTCGCGCCCCTCGATCGCTCTCTCACTGCCGCTCCGCTGGATGGTCTCCCTCCCTGCCCTAAATGAATCCCCAGTTCGGTGAATTCTTGCTCCAATGGAATACGAGATCTCTGGGATCCCATTGGGCAGAATTCAAGGAATATATGATCAAAAACAAACCATTGATAGCCGCCGTTCAAGGGACCTTATCAAACGACTCGGATTCTTTTAATTATAGGTTTAAGATCAACGGTTATTGCCTCTACACACATAACGTAAACGAACCCCGCGCCGAGGCGGTTCGGCCTTGTTTGTCTCAAATAACCCTTTGCATCGTCAAGTTCATTTTAATACTCATTTCAATTCAGTTGCAATAAACGTAAACTTAGCACAGTTAGATCTTACTCTTCTTTCTATATACATTAGCCCCCCTAGCCCTGTCTCCTCAGCTGATCTCTCCGCCTCACTCGCCCAAATTCCTTCGCCCTGTCTCCTTGAGGATCTGAACGCCCATCATCGCGCATGGGGTTGTAGCACGACACAATCAAGGGGGAGAGTCTTACACACACTCATGGACACTCATGACCTCATATGCATCAACGAACTGACACCTACGCATGCACATCACCACGGAGGCACAGTGACGCACTGTTATAGATCTAGCCTTAACAACACCACGCGTAGCACCACTCTTAACGCACAATCACAATCAGACACGCTTTTTAGTGACCACTACCCGATCCACATAAAAGGGGTCGCATCAGGGCAAACAGACTTCAATTTTATTCCCCGATGGAATGTTCGCAGAGCGGACTGGGCATCTTTCCAAAATTATATGGACGAGGCACACCCGTCAGGCGCAACTCCCGACCTCCCCACATTTCTAATCACTATTTTAGCCTCAGCGCACCAGTTCGTTCCACACGCTCATCGTCGACCAGGGCACAAACATGCGCCCTGGTGGAACGATGAGTGTCAGCGCGCATTAGCCCTGCGACGCCGGGCTATGCGTGCCTTTCGTAACTGCATTTGCAGAGCTCATGAAGAGGAGTTTCGCAGAGCTAAACATCAAGCCTATATAATCAATAAACGCGCAAAACAGGAAAGCTGGGAGCAATTTTCAAATACCTTTAACCGCTTTACCCCTCTTTCTAAAATATGGTCACTGATTCGGTGTTTCACAAACAAACGCACGCCACATTATAAAACTCCGCACCTTGTAGTCAGCAACCAACACTACAGCATCCCATTCGAAGTCGCCACAAAATTTGCCACACACTTCGCCCGTGTATCATCATCCGAGCAGTATTCCCAACAGATCACTAGCACACTTAATGCCACACTGCTCGCACTCAACTTCACGTCTGCTAACACTGAGACATTCAACGTACTCTTCACACCCCATGAATTGGACCTTGCGATCAGTAAGTGCGGAGACACCTCTGTCAGTCCAGACCAGTTAGCCTGCCCCTTCTTTAGAAATCTTACTAGGTCTGGACTCACCAATCTTCTGTCGGCTTTCAGCGATATGTGGGTTAACGGCTCCTTCCTTCCTTCATGGCGCTCTAGCACACTTATCCCTGTACTTAAACCTTCTAAGCCTCCCTCTGACCCTCCGAGCTATCGCCCCATCTCTTTTACTAGCTGTGCTTCTAAAACATTCGAACAAATGGTCAACGGACGTATCAGGATGTTCCTTGAGTCAAATCACCCTCTTTCACCTTTTCAGAACGTCTTTCGCCCCGGCCGCTCAACGGTGGACAGCCTGGTCCACATTATGGATTCAATTTAGCTTGGATTTCAGACCATATCTACTACAGTAGCATTATTCGTGGATTTAAAGGCCGCTTTCGACAGGGTGAATAAAAGTGCCCTCCTCACTAAACTACATGAAATCGGAGTTCGTGGTCGGCTCGCCGCTTTCATTAAAAACTTCCTAACTGATAGGACGTTTTCAGTGCGTTGCGGAAATACTTATTCTTCTCCGACGACGCAGGATCACGGTCTTCCTCAGGGCAGCGTCTTATCTCCAGCCCTCTTTCTTGTGATGATAAATGATGTTTTCAATAATATTAATAATATTTCTCCATATTTTCAGCATTCTTTATACGCGGACGACCTAGCTGTGTGGCATACGCATGCTAATGTCGATCGCGCACTGCATTATATACAATTAGCTGTAAATGATATTCACGCCAGGTGTGCACGGTGGGGACTGCAGATTCCCCCACAAAGTCAGCTGACATTATCTTCTCTAGGCGAAATAACGTTCAACCTTCCACCCCCTGAATCTTAATGGTGAAATAATCCCTCCAGTTGACAGTTTTAAATACCTCGGAATAACATTAGATCGTCGTCTTGTTATCAATGCCCATTTTGCTGACCTTAAGCAAAGATGCGCCAGACGATTGAACATAATGAAATGCATAGCAGGGCGGGAGTGGGGCGCCGACAGACGCACTCTCCTCCGCCTCTATACCTCCCTGATACGCCCGATGTTGGACTACAATGGCTTTCTTTTTTATGCTATTTCTTCCAAAAATGTCGAAACCCTGGAGACCATCCAAAACGCAGCCCTCCGCATGGTGACTGGTGCACTTTGCACCTCCCCGGTCCCAAATTTGCCCGCGGACACGAATATCCCCTCCCTATCACACCGACGAAAATTACAACTTCTCAGGTTTTACGCACGCGCCACAGGCCACGTTGGTAACCCTACATACAACGTCCTCGCACACCTCCGCCCCAACCGCACACTTACCAACGCGGAACTCCAGCATCCAACCATCTGCACAAGTGCGTGCACTCTTCGCTGAGTTCAAAGGAGAATATGACCAGCACACCTTTATTTACACTGACGGCTCCTGACGCGATGGTCGCACAGGAGCTGCCTTCATACATCATAATTACCACAAATCAAACCGCCTGTCAAATTACAATACTGCGTATACGGCTGACCTAACAGCAATCCTGACAGCCCTGCTCTACATCAAGCGAGGCCATCTACTAAGGGCAGTCGTATGCACCGACTCTCATTCGTCCTTACAAGCACTCACCACTCTCCATAATTCATCCCACCCAACTTTAAATGGCATGCGACGAACGCTCTGCTCCCTTCAACGTACTCACGTAATATTTCTCTGGATACCTGGACACGCAAATATTCGTGGAAACAGCACGGCTGACGAAGAAGCAAAACGAAGTCTCATGCTATCGGAACGTTATCATCTTCATTGTCCCGTTTCTGATATTCTAGCAACTATCAATTTATATTTCCGTCTCTTTCTCCAATCCGAATGGGATCAACGCGCTCATCACCACCTTCACCCAATCAAACCCATACTTCAGCACTGGCCGACAATCAATCAAGATAATCGCCTGAAGGAAGTGCTGCTTGCCAGACAGCGTATCGGTCACACCAAAATCACACACTGCCACCTTTTCGAACGCACTCCTCCTCGACTGTGTCATCGCTGCGGCATCCCTTTCACAATAAATCACTTCCTCCTCGTGTGTCCAGTATATCAACGATCAAGGCAGCCGCTCATCATTCACACCAACGCTAATCGGCTTCCACTCAATCTCCATTCTCTCCTTGGTGATCTTTATCCTGATTTGATCGTTCCCCTCGAGTTTTTACACAGTACAGGATTAGATATCTTCATTTGAATAAAGGGTTTTTTCCTGCACAATTTGGCAGAGATTACAGGTTCTTCCCTACTGGCTAGAAGTCCTGGTCTTTCTTAGCACTTTCCAGGACTCAATAACATCACACAACACCGCAAGGTCGTGCCCGGCAGCGGAGCCCGTGGCTGATCTCCCCGTTGCTGCGATGAAGCGGGCCGGCATCCATCCATCGCACAGGTCGCAGACAAGTCAGCTGCGCCAAGGCCATCGCTGACACGGACTCCCCACACAGGACACACGGCACCCCAGGAGTAAGGCGGAAGGGCCGGTGAGGAGGCTCACTTGTCGTTCAAACGTATTGAATGCGTGCTATGTCGTCATGTAATAAATATATCCGTTGCCGCCGTCTGATTTACTTGCTATGATCTTGCTGGACGAAAATGGGCCAGGTTAACGTAACGTCACTTACGCATACCCCCTCCCTTGCTTTGCGCCGGACAGCATAAGCCGGTTTAACGTAATCGTTGCCTGGCCTTGTGCCGGAAGTAAATTTTCCCCCCCTCGGAGGTGACTTTATGTCCGTCGAGGGAAAAAAGAGGCCTTGCATTGGCCCACCTAGAAAAAGACTCGCGTGGCTGCCTATTACTTTTTGCTCAGTTAACGTTATTGATGTTTTGTGGGAGAATTATTGAGGCGGTGCTTGTTGGATTTAGTTGTGATGTATTGAAAGCCTTTGTGTATTATGCACGAAAGTTAAAGAAGTGTGCTGCGCACGATGCTGCTTGTGTGTACGGTAGCCGTATGTAAGCCTGTTTGTAATGTTAAAGGT